ATGAATCTTCACAATAATACTTTTGAAAGGTGCTGTTTTGGGCGTGGGTTGTTGTTGCTATGTGCCCTGGAGTCCTTTCCGACTCATAGCGACCCTGTACAGAGTGCCCTTTCTGAGGCTGTAAATCTTTACGGGAGCAGAAAGCCTCATCTTTCTCCTGCGAACAGCTGGTAGTTTTTAACTGCTGATCTTGAGGTTAGCAGCCCAATTGGGTGGGTAGATAATATTCATGAGCACAGTTTAGCAGCCATGGGTGACCTCCCTTTGAAAGAAAGTTAAAGACCTTGTGACATTTCACTTCAAAAACGAGCCCTGTAGCTCTTCACAGTTTCATAGTATGAAATTATACCCTGCATGCTGACCCTCACTTGTAATGGAATGCCAGAAATGCATGGCAGCAGCTAATAAGTAAAGCTGATTAACTATTTATTTTTCATTGTTATTATTTAATGAGCTTTCACATGTGATTGTTTTCAAAATGTTCATTTTTAAAAAAATGTTTTTAAGCTTTTTCATGTGCCTAAATATGTTCCTAGATGATTTGTGGCTGATCTAGAAATATGCAAATACATTTTGTAAATATGTAAAATAAATATTTAGTCTCCTTATTAGACATGTTTCATCATGAACTTTATCAGTAATATGGATCTTTTAAAATGAATGAGAGGCTCTGTAAAGCTGAAATATGTAATGCTTTCTTGTTTAATCTGTGCAATCAGAAGGTGACTTGACCTTCAACTTCATCAATCTTTAAAAAAAAAAATAAACACAGCTAAAAGTTATTTTCCTTGCTTCTAACATGCATAAAAAGGTATGTTTGCAAAAGTTGAAGAATAACTTACAAGAATAACTGCTTTTTTCAATAAATCCCATTCAATTTTGGCAGCTATTTCTGTAGTAAGAAAGGAAAAAAGACAAAGGAAGACCATCCTTTAAGTAAATACCTGGTAACTCAGCAGTCAGTTACAGGAACATGAGATTTATATTAATCAGTGAATATCAATCTATGGTGTGGTATTGTCAAATAAAGAACTAGACCCCAAGGTCAGTTTGAACAGCAAGGTTGGTGGTTCAAACCCACCAGCCGCTCCTCGGAAACTCTGTACATAGTTGCCATGAGTCAGAACTGACTCAATGGCATGTAACAAGTCTGCTACACATTATAGTTGTTTGGGGAGATTTTTATAAAACCCAATGACCATGCTGCAATCTTTGGGAATTATATTAGAATCTCTGGATGCAGAACCCCAAATTGGTAATTTTTAAAGTTCCCTGGGTGTGGTGTGATGGATAGTTTTATGAGTGTATAGCCTTTCTAGCCATGATTTTGTAATTCCCACCAAATGATTAGGTGATACTATGCAAATGACGGACGCCTGGCACTGTAGGATCAGCTCTGGACTGTGAACCACAAGATCAGCAGTTCAAACCCACCAGCTGCTCCTTGCAAAACCTATATATGGTCATTATGAATTGGAATGGACTTGACAGCACTTAACAACAACAACAGCAATGTAAATAAGGTGCTTGTGGCCCACCAAGGGGATTGAACAGATTGACAATAATGCAAATAAGGTACACAACAGACACTTTTATGGGTGTTGGTATTGTTAAGTGCCTTCAAGTAGGTTCTGACTGATAGAGATCCTGTATAGTGTTTCTGAGGAGCAGCTGGTGGACTTAAACTGCTGACCTTGTGGTTAGCAGTCCAGTGCTTATCCTACAGTGTTATACCAGGACACCCATTATGGGGTATACTAGGAAGTAACAGATTACAATTCAGGATCAGAAATGACTCAGGATGCACTTCTTTGGTCAAAACAACTTCTTGGCCATACCCTCAGACAGGCCTCTCCCTGAGCCTCAGCCTCTCTTACTTCTATCCCTCCACTCCTTGGACTTTTGGGCTGGTTCAGCCTCTGCCCACTTGGACAAATGCTACAAAGGCCTCTGCCCACATGGACAAATGTTACAAAGGTCTTTAGCTCTGCCAGTAAGTGCTCAGAGGCATTCAACTCTTCCCTGAAGCCTCCTGCTTGAAGGCACCTAGCACAGCATTCTAGCTGCCTTGCTCATGAGCCAGGAAGCCCACTGAGTCATCTCTTGCCAGTCTCCTGGTTCTGCTGGCTCTCATGCTGCTCTTTCTCTGCCACGGATTCTAACATTTCTGGTGTTACAGCTCTATCTATCTTATTGGGAAAGGGCGTTCTCAGTGCAGGAATCCTGGATCCAAAGCATGTGCTTCACTCCTACCTAGCTCATCTTTCTTGGTGATGGCGAAGTCCCAACTTTCCACCTCTTGGATAATTCACTTTAAACCTAGCAGGATGATAAAACTGAGCAATCCCCTTGTTTGGATGGTCAGACTCCCACAGGCTATTTGTCCCACACCCACAAGGAAACCATGCAAATAAGGTGCATGAAACCCTAACAAAGGGATTGGTTTTGAACTGCTGACCTTGCAGTTCACAGCCCAATTCATAACCACTACAGTACCAGTACGGTAAAGGAGCTCTGGTAGAGTAATGGTTACTAATTGGGCTGCAAACTTCAAGGTCAGCAGTTCGAAACTACCAACTGTTACATGGGAGAAAGACGTGTTCTGCTCCTGTAAAGATTTACAGCCTTGGAAACCTTGTACAGGGTCGCTATGAGTCAGAACCAACTCCATGGCACATCATCATGGTATCAGAATTCCTTTGAAGACAATAATATTCTCCCTTCCCTATAAAAGGTAAAGACAATAAAATACCTCTAGATTTCATGAGGGTATCATCAAATAAAGAAAAAAAAAAAAAACATAGTCCACTATTGATTTATACTTGTCTTAATAACCAAGATCTTAAGCTATTTCATCTGTTATATTAAAACATGAGACATTAATAACTATGCCATAGTTTGAATATAGCAAGAAGTTATTGTTTCATCTATTTTAGTTAGTCATCTTTAATATGGAATATTTACCACAGCATAGAAAATGTAAGACACTTCTGCCATTTCTTCCTTCCCAGTAAGATAGTGTCTTCTATAAAAGGCCTTAGAAATGGCTTCAATAACTAGAGTGTCCTATGAGCTCTAGTGAGAAACTGTAAGATAAGCACTGGGCTGGTAACCATAAGGTCGAGAGTTCAAACCCACCAGCCTCTCTTAGAAGTTCTATACAAGGTCTCTATGAGTTGGAACTGACATGAATGTAAACAAGAATAGCTGTATATCTGAAGAATAAAATCTACTTTTGTGGTGACTTCACAGCCAAGAAGACTATGTTGTTTCCTTTTACTAACAAAACAATGAAACAAAGGTTTTGTTGACAATACAGTTATCATTGATTTGATCACTAGTAAGCAAACACTTCAAGAGTATATACTGAAAACATGAAACCGTCATGAAGCAACATATAAGACAACTTCTATCATTTCTACTGAATTGAAAATTGAATCTATTTGTCGTAGTCACATTTACTTTAGGGATCCATTTCAGGCCATGTTACAACAGAAATACATTCATTGCCTGATATTTAAAATTAAATGATAGGAGAAGGTAACCAATCAATATGAAAGTTCTAAAATAAAATCAGATTTTCAATGAAGTAAAATTTAAGTCAACAGAGTAGTAGCTTTCCAGTTAGTATTTTAAAATGCTAAAAAGCACTTGCATCTAAATTACCAATTATACTCTACATAATATTTTTCAAATATCTTAATCTAATTACATTGTGCATAATTTCACTGTCACATTAATATCATTTTAAAGTGGTAACTTGTGATCATTTTAGCAAGGACTGACCTCTAGTTTAATATTTACAGTATCCATAAAGGATTTGTCTGCTACATTAATTTTGGCCACTATGGACACAGCATCGATGCTGCCACATGGCCAATCCATCTCATTGGGGGTCTTCCTCTCTTTCTCTGTCCCTCCACCTTACCAAACATGATATCCTTCTTCAGCCACTGGTCCCTCCTGATAATATTTCCAAAGTATGAGAGATGAGCTGGGTTGGCCATGTGCCGGCATCAATGGACTCAAGCGTGGCAACAGTAGTGAGGTTGGCCCAGGATCAGGCAGTGTTTTGGTGTGCTGTGCATAGGTTCACTATGAGTTGGTACTGACTCGATGGCACCTAACAACAACAACAACAAATGAGAGACGAAGTTTGGCCATCTTGGCCTCCAAGGAGCAGTCTAGCTACACTTCTTGCAAAATGGATCTATTGGTTCTTTTGGCAGCCCATGGCACTTTCAATATTCTCCTCCAGCACCATAACTCAAAAGCATCAATTCTTCTACGGTCTTCCTTATTCACTGTCCAGCTTTCGCATGCATATGAGGTTATTGAAAATACCAAGGTTTGGGTCAGGCACACCATAGTCCTCAAGCTGACATTTTTGCTCTTCAACACTTTAAAAAGATCTTGTGCAGCAGATTTGCCTAATGCAATACGTCATCTGATCTCTTGACTGCTGCTTCCATGAGTGTTGATAGTTGATCCAAGAAGAATGAAGCCCTTGACAACTTCAATCTTTTCTCCATTG